GTGATGGCGAGATGAGATGGGCTGCCGTTTGCGTAGTGCAGTAGTGCACTAGTAGTATCGCAGTTCGTGATACTTTGGTGTCTTTTTTTGGAATGCTTTTGATAGTAGAAGTGGCGTATGACCTTCTGCATCTGAGATCTGACGGCTCAGGAGTCTCCAGCTATACTATTGGCCATCAGTCCCTATTCTTGTATACAGAACTATTGCCAAGCTAAGAAAAGCCTTAGAGAAAGCTGGCTTTTCTATGAAGCAATTCCCATTGTTACATTCACTAAGACTTCTGGACCCCTGAGGTATACAAGGGAGTGTCTGAGTTGTAAGTATCAAAAGAAATTAATTATTCTCTATTATAATTAAGACTTTTTAAATTAGTTGAATAATTAGAATTTTTCTTGCATTACAGTGCAGCTTTTCACATAGCCAGATAATCTGTAACTTTAGAGCTATTTACCTGAGTAAAAGAAATTTCTAGCATCAACAATTCTCTTTCTGTAATAAAAAGTAGTAAATAACAGCTCTACTGTGGCTGAAAGAAAGGCAGCTCTCTTTAAAAGAAGTCTGTCAAGTCAAACTTGTCCCTCAAAATGTATGTTTTGTAAAAGCCTTCAGAAAATGTTGGGTCGAACTGTTTTAGTGTTATTGTGAGGAAATCAATATTTCCCTTCAGCCTTTGCAACCCCCAAATTGTAGCATGTTTTTTGTGCAGAAGAAGCTGAAAGTGAAACTGTCTAAAAATGAGAGTGAAGTAAACCAGTCTGTTACTATAATTTGCCCTAAAAGCACCCAAGGTAAACAAAGTGGCACACTTGTGCAGTCAAAAATGAAAAATTCTCCTAATGTGACTAGATGAAATGGGGGGCATTGGTGGGGTTTTGAGAGGCTTTTTTTCCTCTTTCAGTTTTTATCCCTCTTTTCTCATCTTTCCCATCTCCTTCAATACCCTGTTACTCATATGCTGTGCTAGATACTACCATGGAGCGTGTCTTCCAGACTTTGTCCTTCAGTGAAAGCATCAAGGAAATCATGCAAGATCCCCACGTGCTTCGACAGTGAAATGAGTGAATTGCCTGCAGTGGCTCCCCCACCACTGGAGAAGAGAAAACCTTTTCATATTGCTCTGAAATTCCAGCAGTGTGCATCAAACACAGGTGGGAGCAACAGCACCATCAGATGTCGTGATGCTTTTGGGACCCGTGAGCTAGCAAAGATATGGACAGCGCTTCCGTGTATTCCTGATCCCTCGCTGTGAACTCAGCCAGATGACATGGCCATGGGTCAAAGGCTCTGCAGGGCTGCGGTCTGGTCAGGTGATGCCAGGAGGAACAGGGTTTATGGTCTTGGATACTGTGGCTGTGGATGGGTATTTTAAGCTGCCGAAACTGAGTTCAGAAAGGAAGCACATTGGGTTGGGGAGCTTGGCTGAGATGTCTGTCAAGAAAATGAAAAGAGAAAGTGTGGGGGATACACGTAACTTGCTCACAGATACACTGGTGTGGATGCAGCAGCTTTACAATGTCATATTCACCTGCATCAGACAAGAAGAAAAGGTTAAACCAGGTTGTGGGAGCAGGAGGGCAGAGAGCAAAGGACCAGAGGAAAGAAAATGCTGTGCTGACTGGTAAAGAGACTGCTCTCTTTGTACTCTTTGTGCTTAGACTGAAACATCTTCACAGGATTTTTTTTCCTCTAATCTGGAAATAATTCTGATTTATTTTAAGCCTTCTATTAAGACAAGTCACGCAGCACTGCCTGGCTGGCAGCAGGAGGCTGTGTGTGTGTGCATGTGTGCGCGAATGTGTGTGTGTATTTCCAAGGGTGCTGCCTGCCTTCTTTAGTTGACACTGCAGTCAATTATTGTGTTTTCAATTATATATAAAAGGCAATGATGGAGTTTTTCAGCTTTTATAGCACCACAAATCACAGGGTCCTTCAATGTAGAAGCAGCATTGCTACCACAGTGTAGCCTGGCAGATCACAACTTTCATGTGCAGACTTGCAGAGGTATCGGTGCCATCAGGGACCCCCAAACTGCAAGAGGACCACCATGGGGCAGGCAAACCCTTGCAGGCAGCTGCTCCTCCACACGGTCCTTCAGCCGCCAAACTCTGTCTGACAGACAAGAAAGGACAATGTTGTCCTTAGGCTATGCCATGAAAGGGCAGGAAGACCTACTTTCTGCATGCTTCATGCGTTCAACAACAGGTTTTTGAAGGAGCTGTGCAGCTTGGATGTGCAAGGAAGGGTTACAAAGGCTAGATGAGGAGGTTATTCATGGGAAGTGTCTAATGACATTGCTACAGCACAACTTACCATGAAAATTTTTGCCACACAATGGGTCTCTTGCCAGCCCGAAGTAACTTGGTAGATCTGAAGTGAGTAGGCTGGAAAACTGTTGTGGAAACTATGGTATGTTTCACAGAGTGATCATTTAGTTGTACATAATACAGTCACATACCCACTGCTGTATTTGCAAAGCTAACCTTGGAAAAAAGGGGTTTAGACTGGCAGATATGGGGTGTTTTCCCTTGAAACTACGCTATATAAGGAAAAAGCTGAGGATGTAATAGTGCACAGGCACCACAGTCCTCACCGTAGCCAGAAGATGCCACCTACCACCCAGGGATCTGAGCAAGGACTCACCACTGTCAGCCTTGGTCTTCCCTCAGCTTTGGCATTTGGGCATGTTAATGCACACGTAAACACCCCAAAATTGTCTGGTACAAAGGCAGCACTAGCAATTTTCAGCTTCTCTTGTTTAGTAAAAGAGATATTAGCCAAGCCATTTTTATTCTGCTCTGTGCTGGCAAGGAACAGCGTGTCTGAATGCATCATCAGACTGCATTTTACTTGTGGCAGATTGGTGGTAACCCAGCAGTCAAGTCCATGAGAGTGAGGCTGTGAGAGTCTGAGCAGAGCAGGAATAGAAATCAAATCATTGCCACATAGGGCGAACAAGAACACTTGAATTCTGAGACTCCAGTAAGCAAGTAAGTGAGAAAAATAAACAGAAGTTGTCAGCTAAACTGGATATATTGACTGCGGTACAAACTGCAGGAGGAGTAGTGACCCGGATGACGGGAATGGAGACATTTAGAATGATCCCATTTCACCCAGGCCATACCCTGGAAACCTGTGCTCCTTTGCATAATGAGCTACAAGCATACAGGCAAGGAAGATCCCATCATGGTAAAGAATACTGTTCATTCAAGAATACAGGGACCAGTATGAGAGAGAGACCACTGAAAGACTCAAAAGGAGTTGGCTACCACTCAAGGCTGAGCTTTCAATGGAATTGGGACTTTAAATAGGGATATTCGTGTGGAGTGGATTGTGTCTTTAGACAAACAGCCCAGTTAGACCAATTCTGATGAGAATCCTGGAGCTAAAGCTGGCTGAATGCCCCCTGACTGGACTCTGCATGACACTGAGCTCCACGAGCCTGCAGTGGGAAGAGAGAATAGGCTACAGCTGTTGTGATGAATGTCAAGATTTTAAACTGGTTTGGCATCTAAGCTGGAAGAAAAAGAAAAAAATGAGATGAGGGACTGAAGCCATATATTGCTAGAAAACTACAAGTGGGATAGCTGCCGCATTATTGCTGGGGGAGACTGAGGTCCTATAGATAATGAACTGGGATTCAGAATTGCAGTGCTAGAGGTTAGGCATGACTGCGGGACCTGGGAACTCTCCTGATATAAACGAGGGGCAGGAGGGATGGAAGGATTCTCTGGAAAGAAATGAAACTAGAAATAAATCTAGTCAAAGCATTGGTACCAGTAATAATCACTTTCACTAATCAGGGTCCTGAGGACAAACAAACCCAAAGCTCCGGAGGATGAGAGGGACCTTTTACAGTCCTGCAATATGTGGCACTCTGCCCGTGGGAAGGCAAGAGGGTATTTTGTCTGGAGTGGGTAAGTCTTGGAAATGGCATTTGAAGATATGAAATGGGGATTGGAAGGAACTAGAGAGCCTGGGAGAAGATATGGCGAGGTGGAATATAAAACCCATTAGTGTCTTAATGCATAAATTGGCACAACTGTACACTGACAATGAAAAGCAAGATACTAGGAACCCAAACTGTTATTAGGTTCTGGTGCCTCAGTGACTATTGAAATTACTATTTTGCAAGAGTGTGGGTGCCTACAAGGTACACCATACGGACAGGAGTGCACAGAGGTCTCCTGTGGTGCATGGAGCATATCAGCTCTGCTGCTACACCCACCGTCAGTGCAAGCTGCTTACTGGAGGGTGTGGTTGAGTTTTCTTGTATTCAGCATCATATTCAGAATAAAAACCAGTCTTTTCAGCAGCCTGTTCCTTAAACAAAATAGGTTACTTTAGATCTGACTAACTGTGGAAGGATAACAGAGAAATAGAAAGACTCATAATTATCTTACCTACAAAATGATATACTCCTATAAAGGCTCCTGAAATAGTCAGAACACCTCAGGATGAGGGTGAGTTACTTTCTGCAAGTATAAGCTTGAGATAAGTTGGAGTATGGAAAGATTAATGCCTTTGCTTTAATAACAGGGCTTGATCCAAGACTGCAGAAACGATGTAAGTAGCCAAGCGAAGCCCAGAAAGGATTGTTGTCCACTATTAATAGTCTGATGGATCAAAGAGTGCCAGTGCAATGACCCAGTGTGTGTAATTCCCCTGTGTGGCTGGTATTAAAGGGAGATAGAAAGATGCATCTGACTGTGGATTTCAGAGCATTAAATGCTGTAACTTCACAAACATCACCTCTTGTTAAAATGCCAGAAATTACGGCTGCAATACTACAAGGAGCTAAGTGGTTTTCAGTCGTAGATCTAGCAAATGCATTTTTCTTTCGCCCTTTAGCAGAGAAATGTTGGTAAAAGTTTGGTTTTACATTGCAGGAGAAACAAAATTGTTTCACATGAGTTCCTCAAGGATTTCACAGGCTCCTGTGATATGTCACATACACATATCACCCAAATGTGATAGAAATTAGCCTGCAGGTCCAGGAAGCATGTAACATCATATGAGGATTGCACCTGAATTGGGGAATTCTGAAGAACAAGCATGTCTGCAGACAGGAAGTTTTGGCTGCAGTCCAGGAGGAAGGATTGAAAGTCAACAGACAAAAGGTTCAATTAGTGCAACAAGAGGTAAAATATTTAGGAGCAATACTAGGTATTGAAGGCCAGACTCCTGATAAACAGAGTGTGGAATTAATTCAAAAGCTACCCAGCCCCACTGCTCTGCCTAGCTAACAGCCCTGTAAGGCACATCTAATTGTATGCAGGATTTTATTCTGATGTTCACTGAAGTGAGTCGTCCTCCAGCTAAGCTTTTAGAGAAAACTAGGCAGTGGGAGCAGGGTACAGAAAAGCAGGCAGCGTGGTCGAGCTGAAGCCAGCCCTAGCCCAAGCTGTGGTGGTGGGTTTTCTGGACCCAGGAAACCTCTTCATGTGTGGTTTGCCTCTGCTAGCCAGGAAGGAGGTGCCAGTTTGGCACAAAAGAAAGATACCATGTTACAGGCTATTGCCTGTGCTTTTCTAAATCTTATTGACACCACAACTCCTTGTCAAAAGGAATGAGTATCTTTAGTCTGGAAATCGGAAAAATTGGATTATATCGTTGGAGGAAGGCCAGTGGCACAACACACCAGTCATGCTTCCTTGAAATACATTGCGTTCAGTTAAGCACAAGATGGTACATATCTAGCTCTAGGTTGGCAAAACGGACCCTCATGTTAATGGCTCGGGGAGTCAGACCTGGAAAAGGACACGGGACATGCCTTAATGGTGGAGGGTGCTGAGCATGGGTGTCAGATATTGCAACCTCCTGATGTGCAGTGGCCTGGGCAGGTTTAATTTCCTTTGTCAAAATACATCCACATAAACCAGAAATCTGCTTTACAGGTCATTCAAGTTCCCATAGGATAAGCCTTGCACAAGATTTGCTCCAGTCCGTGTAAAGAAGAGCGGGAGGTAGTGGGGCAGGTCTCACCTCACTCAGTACAACTGGCAGAAATCCCAGGTGCATTGTCAGGTGTGCTTCCCAGTGGCATGAGCAAACAAGGGTGAAGGATTTCATTTTACTGAACAAGTTTTTTGCTCAGCTAGGTATAAAGCAGCAACTACACATAACAGAATACCCACAAACCTCAGGATATGAAGAATTTGGCTACTAAAGGAAGCTTTAAGGAAGTTAGTAAAGAACGGGAAAAATTAGGATGTGGTGTTCTCATCTAAATGGCTCCACAAATTACTACAGCCAGCCATTATTATATTCCTTTTAAGGCCATGATATGAAAGGAGATGTGACTGACAGTATCGGTGGTTAAAAACTTCCATATCAGATGAATAGCAACTGAAAGGTCTCACAGATTAATGGATAAATGGATCTGACAAACTGCGCCAGGATAATCAACAAATAGCTGAGCAATTAGGGAAAAATGTTCACAGAATAGATAAAAAATATTAAATGGTAAATAACCAGCGTGAAGAATGACAAGTAGGGGGTCAGGTAGTTTATCATGGGTTTCCTGGAACGAAGCACAACTTTTGCTGTAAGTGGGATGGATCTGGCACTAGCACAGATAAAGGCATTTCCATTGTTTATTAGTTCAACTAAGTTCTGACAGTGTGAGGCAGTTTCATCAATCACAGCCAAAGCTCTGGAGAGGAGAAAAAAACCTAAGCTTTATGAAAAGTTGTCTTTATTTTTCAGGGTCATATAAAGGGATTGAGTGTTAACCAGTCACCAGACCTGGATCAGCACAGAAACATGGATTTGCCGTGGTGTGTGAGAATAGCAATTCCAGCTGTTGTTCTGGGCAGCAATGTTACCGAATTATGAACAGGATTGAACAGTGTCGGGTTCTTTCTGTTGTGCCTACTCTATCAGGACAAGGTCTGCATGCAGCCTGGTGTTGCCTGTGTTTTGCAGTAGGGTGAACAGGAGTGGAAGGAGCAGAGCTGTCAGGGATGCTGCCTGAGGTAGCTGCATCCATCTCCTTGCTGGTTTGCACCCTCTCTGTCTGAGCAGAACACTTTCTGCAGTCAGCATGGGTGGTCAGTGTGATAAAACCATTGTACAGGCCTTGATACACTAGATGCTAGACAGCAGCATGGCCTGCAGACAGAGCTCTCTAGCCTGTATCTCTGAGATGCCCAAGTTGCCTGATCATCCAGAACTGGATGCGTGCAGGGATGCCTTAAAGCTGCATTAGTCCCATTTTTCCAGAGCTAGTCATGCTTTGGTGTGGCTGTTAGAAGAACACAGTCTCACCTGACAGTGTGAAAGTACTCACATTTTGTTTCCTTCACTCTTCTCTCTATTTTACAGAGTCCCATCCACTTTATTTTAAGAGTATTGTATTTAACAGGAGACATCCCTCTTTCCTGAGAGGCCAGCATGCTGCTAACAAGTAATGTAGTCATAGCCATGCACTATTGTTCCTGTCACCTCTAATCACTCAGTGATCACCATCACACTAAATCCCTTCTCGCATCTGCATCCCCCTGAATTATGTGAAATACTCCCTCACCCCTCAGTGCAGCCTCTTTGCTTTCTCCATCTTTGGCTCTCCCCAACCTGTGCAAGCAATCCAGTGGCTCCAAACAGGAAAACTGTCTCATTATGGTGAAGGGTCTCTAACTCACTACATTTTCCTGTCAGAGAGAGTAGTTTCTTCTGCCGTGAACTAGAATCCCTTGAGAGAAAACAAGTTTAAAAAGTCTTTCAGCAGCCTTTTCTGTTCTGTCCTCCCGGTACAGGTTGAAAATGAGAAGAAAAGAAAAAAAAAAAAAAAAAAAAAAAAAGAAAGAAAGCAAGCAAAAATCTTCAAAAAGGAAGACTTTCCCAGAGCCCAAACAATCAATCGGACAATAGGAGATAATGATTCCACCTCTGCGCCCTCCTCCTGCTGGACAGGAATTTTAAACCCTGCGTCTGCCAGAGGTGGTAAAAGACCTAAGTGATCTGCCTTGGCTCTGAACGTGGCACCTTGGTGATGAGCTGAAAAGCTTGTTGCTCACTTTGCAAGCAGACTTAGCAGAGGGCAGAGGTAAAACCAACTGGGACTTGGCCTTCTAATCAGTCCCATGCTGTGAGCTCATGGTATTAATCCGACAGCCAGTGACATCAAGGCAGGAGGCCTGCATGACCCCGAGCCTGTCCAACGGTGGCTTACACTACCCAGTACTGCATGTTCCATTTAATAAACTCCATTGATATATTTAATAAAGGCACTTCACACTTCCACAGTTTCATGTGTGACCTCTCTGTGGTTGCTACCAAAAACACAAAGAGAGTCAAGGATCATTAGCTGACGAGGCAAAACTGCCCCTTCCCTTGCTCTTCTATTTTTCTTGTGAATATCAACTGCTTGAGAGGCAGCGATAGCTTGTAATCCTTCCTGTCTCCATTATAGAAGGGACAGGTTTCTGTGGGAGCTTGGAAAAAAATTACAACATAATTATCTGCGGTTTGGGCAGCTCGCAGTCCCGCTCACTGCCCTCAGGCTCCTCATGCCAGCAATCTATCTTCTGCCCAGAGGCTGCGTTGATGGGCTCCTGAGAGCCCACAGAGGTTGGGTGCTACTGTCACCCCATCTCCTCCCCATTTTGTGGCGACAGAGGAGCATGTGCAGGCACCAGGGGCCAGAGGAAATCCATTAGTAACCCCCAAGCACCTCTCTGAGGGTCCCTGGCTGCGCTGCACAAGCCAGGGACTTTGGCTTCTGGTAAAGGTCATCTTCCTCAGCAGGGGAAGATGGATATGTACCTCTGCAAAGTTTTCTAGGCAGACTGATGAAAACCTTATAGGAAAAATGTCTGGTTTAATACCTAAAGAGAAAAGTGTTTGTTTGGTAGATTTTCTGCTCAGTTTTGGGCTTACTGGTTTTGGGGGGTTTGGTTTCTTTTTTTTAATTACTGCATTTGGTAGTTGGTTTTTTGCATTAGAAATAGTGTCAGTTGTCAAACAAGCCTCCTGATTGATTTGGGTTTTTATGTCTAGCTTTCAACATCCTCAAAGGCATCTGATTGTTCAGGACATACTGAGTATCTGCACTTACAGAAATCAAGCCTCAAGTGGAACTCCCCTGAAAGCAAGGCACCGGGAAGCCAAGATTAGTTTTCAGAAAGTAAGTGGTTTTCATTTTTCGGTTTCTCAAGGACTCTCTCAAGGGCCAAGCAGATGTCTGGGAGATCCACAGAATGGAAACCTGCAGTTCTAATGGGGACAGAAAAGTGTGTGTGGAGGGGGTTGTTTGTTTAGGGTTTCTTTTAGCTAAAATCGTCTTTTTGTTTGACAGCAATTTATGCTATTTATGCAGCTGAAATGCCAGTGCATTTTTTGTGTGGACTCTTCCTTTTCAACAAAGCACTGAGGAAATTGCCACACTAATTCTCTGAGCTTCCTAGCAGCTCTCAAGCATAACGAGAAGAGCAATTTCCAACTTAAAAATACAAAGGCAAACAAAAGAATAAAAGCACGCACAGACCGGTTCAGTTCAGAAGCCTCTTGAAAAGTTTAGGCAGCTATGGCTACATTCTCATTGCATTTTGAGTGGAGACTTGGGCCTGTGCTGAAGACCAAGCCTTAGCTGCCCTGTGGGTTTCTCAGGAACACTTAGGGTTGTGTTAGTCTTTTGGCCAGCCCGGAGTAACCGTCAGCCTGCTGTGCTGCTGGACGGGCTGCCTCCATGCCCTGGCAAGCAGCGACATGCTTTGGGGAGGCTCTAAACCCTTGCCACTGCAAGGCATGATGGCTGCAGGCAGGCAGAGCTTCGGAGAGGCTCTGAACGCTCGCCACTACAAGGTGTGATGGCTGCAGAGCGTGTGGGATGGGCAGCACGAGCCGCAAGCATCGCCACAGGCATCCCCATGGCACCCAGCCCTGAGCCTGGCCAGCCCAGATATGGCGCCGCTGCACCCCCAGGTCCCAGCAAAGCTCTGTACCCGGGTAAGTGGGAACAGAACTAAAAGCTGGCACGTTAACTCTTATCTAGTGCACGCCATCTGGACCTACCAAAATGCCTTGTTACATTAGAAAAATAATGCAGATCTTGCATCTGCGAGTGGGAAAACTGAGTCTTAGGATAGGGGTGGTCCCTCTCCATGGGGAGCCCCATGCATTCTTGGGGATCCTGCGCCCATCAAGCATGGGCTTCTCTGGAAAAGTGCACACACACACCCCCTCTCTGTGTCTATGTTTGCATGTATTTGCTATATAGCTGTCCCACACGTTTTCCTTGCTAGCCTGTCATAACCATTACTAAAATATGCTTATCTCATATATGCAAATAGCAGGATATTTATAAGGTTCTTTGAAATTTCCATAATTGTGTAAAAAAAAAATCTCTTTGCTTATCTTACAAAGTGTTGTAACCATAGTGTTACTTTTATTGAAATCCAAAAATCACTCAGCAAAATAAGAATAGTTAAAAAAACGACAGGTTTTTTTATATTTTTGAAATAGAAGGGAAAGAAAGTAAGCAAACCAGGCTTTATTATTTTAAATTAGAAAGTTTAATGCTCACCAAAAAGGATATAAACTGTAAATGTATTTTAGCAGTTCCTAGAGAAAAAGGGAGAGGTTTTAATAATAACACTGTGTGCTCCTATATCATTTTCATTAGAAAAATCTCAGAGCACTTTCTGCTTATTAAAGAATGGAATGCCTCAGAAGACTCTTGGGAGGTACTATAGAAAAGTAAGGTAACAAATATAAATCCGCATTATGCTCCGTACTGTGATTACCTGGAACTTCCTAACCATCTTGGGAATACACATGTCCCTGCTATGGCTCAGGATCATAAATCTGCCCTCCGCGGCACAGCCTCACCCAGCTGTGGCAGTAGCTGGCTGTGGCATCACAAGGGGCTTCGCTGCACGTATCTGCTCGTTTCCTGGGTGAGCAAACCAAGGCCTGGAAGGTTTTTCCCAAGCTCAAAGGTGAGGAATGGAAATGAGCAACAGGGCTAGGCCAAGCACCTCACTGTGCTCGTCGTGGGCTCCTGTCACCTCGTGTCCTGCCCTGTGGGGACATGCAAGGAGCTCTGCAGGGATCCCTCTGCCTCCTTCGGGGAATCCTGGCTGGTCTCTGGCCTCACTCGAGTAGGTTCCCTCACTGTGTACAGGAACATTCCCAGGCAGGCTCTGACCGTTCACCTTGGGAATGATCTGAAGAGGACAGAAAAATAAGATATTAGCCTAAAATTAGCAAGAGTCACAAAATGTTTACTGGAAGAACAAAAGGAGGAAGAAAGGCTGTAAAGGTAGAGGATATTCCCTGGGCTGATGAAGAAAATAATATTTAAAAAATCCCTGGTGTTTAATTTCAGAAAATGCAATAGACTGAGTGCCCAGAAGAGGAACAGCATGTTAACATATCTTAGATAAACAGGAGCCAAACTGTTAGCCTGACAGAAAAACGAGAAAGCCCATCAATGCAATGGGGGAAAATAATAAATTAAAAAACAGATGGTTCAAAGATGTGATTGCATCTTCAGCTTCAGTGAAAGGAAAGAAGGGGAATACATATGTATTACAGGCAGGCCAGGAACACAATAGCTGGAAAAACATACACGAATAGAAGAGGCAAACTCGTCATAATGAAGTTAATTAAAATAGCAGGACCTCAAGTTATTTTAGGTCCCGGTGGTAGAAATCCCAGAATTCCAAGCCTCATTCTTCATTAATACAAAAAGTTTCCTATTTCGTCCATGCTCAGAAAAAGGACCTCTTCCTTTCTGTGCTAGATAGTGAGTCAAGGCAGATGGGAATTATTCTGAGCTTGGAGAAAACAAAGAAGCACAAATTAATGGCTTACTGGCAGAAAGGCAGTTTAAAACACTTTGCCAAGGCACATTTTATTCCTACAGTTACATACATATTTTTTTTCTTTAATTCTGTTTAGATCAGAAGTGCATGACCAAGCAGAGATACATATCTATGTTGTGTGTATAGGCTGGAGTGGGCATTAAAACAAACAATCAAACAAATAAAAAGCTGACAAAAGAAAGGGAAAAAAAAATCTATAATGGCTGGTGCAACAACTTAACAACTTGCTTCATGTCACTCAGAACACAGAAAATAGAACAGCCCCATCTTGCCAGCTTGAACTCACAATTTCTGTGTGGGTTTATGTGCATCTGTACTTCTGTCACACATATATACAAATATGTATATGCACACCCATGTATTGCTGTTTCATATGAAGAAGCACTGATTGTTTGCAGGGGGTCCTCGTGGCCATAGAGACCCTGGTCAGGGTCCTTGTTCTACCGGAATGAGAAGTTTTGCCTTTGGCTTCCGAAGCGGCAGGGTTTCGCTCCGGCTTCCTTTGGAGCAGTAAAACTTTAAATCTGTAGCTAAACTTTCTCTGCCCGGGTCTGTACTTCAACCACTCTGTGAGAAATCTGGAAATGGTTTAACTATACAAATTAATCATGCAGAAACAATTTAAGATATGATACCAATATTATTTCAGTCATAATTTGGCAAGATGATGGAGGCAGAAACTCAAACTGTACTTGTGTTTGAATAGTGTTGATTCTTTCATAACTATTAACTCTCAAGACTTCCATTTTATATCCCTTGGGAACAGATTCTGTCTGTGTTTAGGGGCTTAGAAACAGGAGATCAGGAGATGTAGGTTCAGTTCTTGTTACATGACTGCTTTCTTAACTTCCTGACACCTTTTTTTTCCCTTGTGTAAAATTAAAATAATGACATTTCTTCATATGACAGCAGCTTAATGCATTTATGTCTAAAATGCTCAGGTGAAAGTTGCTATACATTTCAGAGATTATTGTTTATTACCGCAATTGTTATTACTGATACTTCCGAGAGTTTCGCTCTCACATATATAATAAGGGCAAAATATTATGAACATTTTGCCTTATTTTGAACTTAACACCAGTTTTGTTCTGAATTAATTCCTTTGAATAGAATTATTCCTGAGCTACATCAACTGGGGACCAGCTGCTGACCCCAAGTGTTTAAGAACTACAGATAATCATGGATGAAAAGAGACAAAAATACATTTTATCTAAGAAGTGACTACTGTTGTGATAGAGGCTGAAATTAAAGTATAATCCAGAGAGAGGAGGGAGAGAGAGTATTCTTTAATTAAAATCAGCTACCTCAAAAGATGGATATTCTCAGGAGTGAAATTTGCACTGTGCTGAAGGCTTTCCACTTAAACCCTTGATGATGCAAGGAATAAGAATTCTCAAGGAGTAATATTGGCATTAGCAGATAGCCACTTGCCACTGCACAATAAGGCAAAATTTGCAGCAAAAAAAAAAAATATGTGGACAATAGAATGGAAAGATGGATGAAATAGGAAGCTATCTGAAACACAAACCCTTGATTATCCAGCAACAAATGAATACTTTGGCAAAGAAAGAGACTGAAGATAGAGACTTGGAGATAGAGAAAGAAAAATTAAACCAGAAGCAGCAGAGATCAATGAAAACAATCAGCACTTTCTGCCAGGAGATATGTTAAAAAGTCTGAAACGGAGGCTTTAGAGAACATGTTCAGAATGATCCATTGTCCCCCACACCATCTCCATAGCAATTAATGGTCCCAGCCAAGGAAAAATTATGGTACAAGCCATGAAGATTGTATGGATCCCCCCTGAAAGGCAGCAGGTGAAAGGCCAGAACATCCATTTGGGGTAGTTCTGGGGCTTGCGGCGATAATGCCTTCCTCACCTTCGGAGAGATGCTGCTTCTGGCAACGTGGGATCCACAGAGCATGCGCTTGAGGGGAGTACTTGTGACGAGCATTTCATAGTGAATCCTGTTCTGTTCTCATTTTAGTTACCATCACAGATGGCTTCCTGCAATACAGAGAAGGCTCCTGGCAAGGCAGTTTGCTGGATAACATTAGAATTGGATGTGATGGAAGTATTACCTCACAGAAACACCCATTCACCAGCATTTATTTCATTGTGTTCAGCACAGTAGTTTTGAGCAGCTACTTCGCTCTGGCACTGGCTCCCTCACACTGCGCTCACATACAAATCTCTCTTGCATGAATCTTGCCTAGCAGTAATCTGTAACCAGGTGGTCTCTGTGAGAAGTGGCTATGCTGCAGTGAGGAAAAATGTATCCTTTCCTTTTTTTTTTTT